TCTTTTATTTATTATTGGATTTACCCAATATTTCAACCAGAGGTTTATACAGGTGCAGTGAGAGTCATATTTTAGTAAACCATACGTTAAAAATAAGCTCAAGGAACTTCATCCCATACCTATCTCTCTACCAATCTCCACTGAAATTTGAATCAAAATTAAAACCAAACTTTTTGGCTTGTATTTGCCTCACAAATAAAATCTGGTTTTAACATACACACCATATGGTCTTTCAGTGAATTCCTAAAACTCATTTCAATGACAGGATAGAAAATTTCTATTAATTTCCCTGGTAGCTACAACCAAGGGGAACCCTTAAGGAACACTCCTGAGTGGTTTGGTGCAGAAATAGAAGTGAAGAGATGGATGCAAGAAGTTGGAGAAGAATAAAAATTGAATTGTCAATAAGGCTTCACTTTATGGACTATTCTTGCATCCCAACTGTGGTCTTACATTCTTTCTGGACCTAATTTATGACTCTAATTTATCCCTCCGTGACTAAGTGTGAGCTGCTTGCGCCTGCCCAGGAATTCCAAAGGCAACGTGGCCTTCACCCACCATCCACGTGCACACGTGGGCTTCCAGACAGCAACGTCGTTACAGACTCAAATTACAGAGGAAATCTTGGCTTGGCACATCCAGAGGCTGCAGGAGTCATTTACTTCTGTAAAGTGGTGAAATAGAGAGCAGACACCAGCCAGCCTTGCGGAAAGCCCTAGGATTGCAGCCTGGCCCATCCTGCTGGTAGAGCCTACAGGAGACATTTCCCTGGCCGTACAGGGATGACTTGGAAGATCTTGATGAATGGGCTTTAGCAGACAAATGCAAATCTACTCAGCAACTTTTCCAATCTGCATGACTCAGGCAGATATTTTTAGGTGTTTCAGTTCCGTAATGTTATTCCGCGTGCCAAAAAATATATTTTTAACATTGCAACCTAAAATGCACGTATTGCTGACCTCAGCCGTGCTCATCTCCTAAACAGCTCCAAGAGGAACCGGATTCGGTCCTCCTGCTCTCCTCCTGGGCACAAGAGGACTTTCCAATTCTCTGTCACCAATGTCACGACTGAAATTTGGGGGCTCGAGTCCCACCTCGGCCAGACCTGCTTTATCACCCCACGATGACAAGGGCATTGCCAGCTTTAACACGTATGTTTGGCACGAACAGCCTAGGATGCAGAGCTCCGCATTGACAAGAGGAATCTTTTTCCTCCCCACCACTTCATAGCCACTGCTTTAAAAGCAACATAAGACCTAGGAGTTCACGGAAGCTCAATTTTATTTTCATCTTTGTGAAGCACAATTGCCTCACACTGACCAAAGCCCTACTTGTAGGGTCCTGCTCTAGGGTACATGCATTATGTCATACTATATTCTTCATATATTCTTCATACTATATTCTTTCATACCTATACTGCATTTATGTCACTCATGGAAGCCTACGGAGAGCCAGGAAGGGCATTTCCAGGGCCAACTGCAGCCCAAGCTGAAGGCTCCACCACAGATCAGAGATCTTCTCATTTTTCACTTTTTTAAGCTCCAAGATGCTACTTTTCCAGATAAATCTTCTGGCTGTTTCATAATTCATTGCAACTACTTGTACACAGCTCCTATCATAAACCCCAAGATAGTCAAAATATCTGTCTTGCTAAGTCTGCTTCTTAAACGATCATCCTGAATTTGCAGCGCACTTAATACAGGAGCTTCTTCACCGTGCAATCTTCTTATTTAGCATGCTTTTCACATCAGAATGTCTCGACTCCCTCAAGTAGGCAGCCTTTGTTGCTGCTGTTTTTATTTATTTTAATTCTAGTGCACAGAAATGACTATGATCCCCGGGGCAGCCTCCTCTGGGTACCTGGTGAGCTAAGAAAGCATCGATGCAATTACAGCAACAAGTGTCATGGCTGGAAAGAATGAGAGAGAAAAACCAGCAAGTCCAACTCTGGAAAAGGAGCCACCTCTCCCCCGGTGTCACGGAAGGCATCAGCTTTTCATGGCTAAAAGCTTCAAGAGGACTGACAGATGGAAACCAAGCTGTCCTAATATCACAACGATGACAGAAAGCCACTTAGTTAAGGAACAGGCTGGTTTTATTTGTGTTGATGAAGGGAATGTGTTGAAGAGCAGCGGAGCAGCTCCTGGGCTGCAGGTAACAGAGCTCAGAGCAGAGAGCACTGGGAAAGAACATCCCTAAAAGCACCAGAATCAGCTGCAGGGACTTTATGGAGAGCAAAACCCAAGGAAAACAAATATTTCATTCAGGAAAAGCAAGTCGTAGATGCTGAAACACTCCCTTCTGATCAGCTCTCAGTTGATTCCTACCAGCGGGTAGGTAATTAATTTAGGCACGCAAAATAGCTGGACAGGAGCAGAACGAGGCAACTGCCAAACAAACCTCCAGGGAACGTGTGTCCCCTCACACCCAGTGTAAAACGTGGCATGAGGTGACACGTTCCCTGCAAGGACATTTGAGCTATGTCATTAATAGCGACCTTAAATGCCCCCGCTGCACCAGCTGCAGTCTTTTAACCAGTCCTTGCAGCAGCAAAGCCCACTTGCAGTTCACAAGATGAGAAACTGCTGTGCAGTTAACTTAAAATTACAGCCAGCACAGGCAAGGAAGCATTTCATTCGTACGCCAGCAGGAGGGCAAGATGCAAGAATCTCTGGGGGCTTGCGGGGTTTGTGAAAACCGCCCTGGATAAAACTCTATTAAATGACCATATGTGCAACAGCGAGAGAGAAGAAATTGAGAAGAGCGATTTCCACTGGGGCACCATAGAGTGGTACAGCGCACAGATGGAAATGATAGGTTTCTGTTACCTGACTCTTATGTATCTAGAGTACAAATAAGTAAATATCTCGTCAATTATACAAGCATTGTATCAACGGAGTCAGAAGACAGCAAAGTGTTAGCATAAACACTGCCCGACTCCACAGAAAAACTTATTCTCAGTGCTGTGAAGGCATCACCCGCTTCTAAACACACTGCAATAATTTGAAACTAATTATGTTACAGTCTTTTGTGCAAGATTTCCAGCCATTGCTTTGCAATAATCCCCTTTCCTTATTGCTGAACTAAGCACTTGCATGTACAGAGAGGAGGAAGGGGAGAACCTGTGGCAGGAGGGATTTGGTTTAGGTTTAATTTCCTTGGCTTAGGTTTAGTTTCACTGATCAAGTTGTTTTGTGAACTAGATCTACTGCTTCGAAGTAAAGCATAGGAGTAGCTAGGATATTTCAAAGCCAATTCTCCCTTTCTGTATTTATCAAATAATGATGAAATGTCAAGAAATGAGTTACTCCTACCCATTTTGATACTGTGGGGAAAAAAATAAATAAAGCTTATTCCTAGGAAGCAACCTGAGATCTTTACAGGCAAGACACACAGAGACTTTGACCTTTGTTGAAGCAATCCCATATAGTTTTATGTTTAACTGACTGAGAGCAAGAACACAAGAGGCAGAGCATTAGGTTGGATTTAGCAAGTTTAAGGAAGAAGCTGTCAATTGAGCAAAACTGCAATTACAAACTAATTTAATGTTCCCCAAGTACATTACTGCAATTCAATAAACTTGTCTTCAGAATTTAACAATTCCAGTTGGCTTTCATTTCAGCCTGTGTACATGCACCACAAATTTGTCATTATCCACACCAAAATGAGTCAGACTTTTTTGGGAAGCAGCGGTCCATGCAATCCCAGTGTGACAGACTGCTGCTCCAAACTAACCTCAAAAAAACAACTTAACCTTACCTGCTTACTAAATAGGAACAACAAATAGAGCAAGATTCCTTCAATATAATCCCTTAATTTCTTCTAGGTTGGTGTCTGCCTGTCTGAATAATCCAGCAACAAATCTATCAATGATTTCCTGTTGAAAGTCGAACCTCTTATGGAATTTAGTCTGTTATTTTTCCTTTCTCAAGTTGCTACACAAGGAAACGCCCAGCCCGTACCTTAGGTGGTACATTCTGGTATTTGCTCCCCTGGAAGGTGGCCTTCCTTCTACTTAGTTGTAATGCAATAATAGATACACCACTCCTGGTGACTCAACTTCTTTTCAACCATGGATTAACTCCTTTAGAAGCAAACAAAAGAGATGCAAGAGTCCTCAGGGGACATTAAAAGCCCCTGGTATCTCACTGCAGCATTTTCCTTGTGACCTGTGCAGCTCAAATACCAACACTCAGTATTGGAGATCTTGCAAAGGTTTGGATGTCAAATGCCCTAGGATGTCAAATGCCCAGCAGAAAGCATGGCAGCGGCCAAAGGCAATCTTGTTTCTACAGTAGCCCTCCACGAAGCATTTACATCAATAAAATCATGCTCTATGAGCATCTTCCTTTCACCCAATGTCTGAGATGGGACTGAAGACGAAGCAGGCTCACAGGTGACTTAGCTGTCTCCCAGATTCCCTTCCTAAGAGGCAATGAACATCCTTGTAGCGTAGCTGAGGAAGAGTTTAAGGCAGGCAGCACTTTACTCCATGCCTCATGGTACTATTCTCTCCTTGATTAACCCAGTCCCACTGTACAGTCTTCAGCAAGCACCATCTTGCATGTGCCAAACAGGACGATCTGTTAAATTTTAGGATAACACAGACCAAGCATCCTTCAGCAACTGCTGTCATCTCCACCATTTCCTCTGGGACATGAGAAGAATCAATCCCATCATTAACCAACAGCAGCCCTGAGCAGACCGGCTCTTCTAGAAAACACCCCCTACTCCAACACTGCATGACTTATTAAAAAGCCTCGTAGCTAACAAGGTTAAGAAAAAAAGAGCTTGCAAACAGGGTTGCAGCCAAAGTTCATTTCCACAATTCAAATATTTGGTTCAAGAAAAATGATCAAAACTCATGTCACTTCACAATCCTTTTTTCCTACTTAAAACAGAAGGAATGAAAGGTCCGATCGGATGTTATTTTCGCTTGTGCACCGCTGCTGCATGTGAAGAACTAGTGACCAGGAGCCTGTGGCTTGGCAGCATCCTACCTTTCACTATCAGCTCGGCGTAGTTGGAAACGCCGGAGCCGCCGTCGGAGCGGATGACGCAGCGGTACTTGCTGACGCTGCGCTGCGACGTGTCGGCCACGCTGACCGTCGCCGAGAAGCGCCGGTGGTTGACCACCCGCGTCACCATCAGCGCCGTGTCCCTCCCATTCCACTGCTGCAAAAGCAGACACACACACACACACACAAAAAAAATAGAGTTAGGAGAACATGCGGATTTGCTTTCCGGCAGAAAATTCAGGTTTTGTTGCGTTTTTAACAGTTTTAGACCTTCACGTTCCCATTGCTGATTTGGACTTCATATGGTACCAATTCTCAATAGAACACTGAGAATGGGACCATACAAACCTCAAATGGGCTCTGCACTCTAGAATCTAATGGGTGTAAGTACTCTTGCATATATATTTAAGATTATCTAAGTTTGCCTATGTAACTTTTGAAGCATATTTGGATAGCTGGTGCGATGGGCTTACTGGCAAGGCTGGAGAGCAACAGTTCCAACCATACATTTGGTTGGAGAGCAACAGTTCTAACCATGTATTTGTACACCACACATTTAGGAGCTTGGCTACCCTAGGGAAATGCCACAAATAAACAGGTTTTGTACACTTGGAAAAAATAGAAACAAACAGGTTTTGTTCACCTGGCAGTGGCAGGTGTCAAATTTTTTTCAGGGCCAATTTAAGTGAATTCATTGGACACACAGACGTGCTTACATGTCAAACATGGCTCTAAAAGCTCCTCTCTACCAAGGCCACACTACACTTCCATAACTCAAAATCAGGCAGATAAAGAACTGGCCAGAAACCGATGCTTTACACAACATAAATACCCAAACTTGCTCAGCTGGTCTAATCTCTATCAGGAGTTGCAAAGAAAAATAACATTTTGCCATTTTCAATAATCAATCTTTTTGGGTGGTATTTCAAAGACTATTTTCATTAAACGGTTCAATTTTAAAGAAGCAAAAACAAGTTTCCACTAGCAACAACAATAATTTCTCTCTCAAACCTCTGCTTCTCATGGGAAAAGACTCACACTGCTTCAGGTTAGAACTGATTTACACACATCTAGTCATAATTGTGGAAGGATTTCATAGAAAGAACTCCAAAAAAAAGATAAAGAATAAGGCAAAACGCATCTCTATGGATGTTAAAATTACAACACAGGTTAAGAAATTCCAGGTAAAAATGGCATCAAGGTAACAGCTGTGATAGCAGTGCATTTACTGCAACTGTCAAGCCATCTTCCATAATGTCAAATGCATTTCTCACCAACTCAAGTATTTTTCCCATTACAAGTGGGTTCCCACTACTAATTTTCATCTTTCCTAATTTGCCTCCTAATATTTAGCCTCAATTTGAATTTTTTAACTAAAGTTCAGCCACATTGCTAAAATAACTTTTAAATAATGAGAAAACCCATTACTGATCTGAATAAATACCATAGCAATTATGGCAAGGGTCACTCTACTTGAGAGATGTTGAAAATTAAGCTTTTTATAGATGCCAAAAATAAAGAGAGTTCTGTCCTCAGAGCATTAATTCAAAGCAAGCTGCACGCTGCAGTTCTGCTGTAGTGGAAGAGCTCTAAGCACTTGCTTGCCCAACCAGGACCTTAGTCACGTTGTCTGAGCTCTGAATAAAAACTGCTGATTTGCTTAAACTCTCTAAAGTTAATTAAACTTGATGAAGTTTGAAGTCTACAAGGTCTTGAAGGTACACAGGAAAACAGCAGTTTCTTGTTTGTCAACATTTTAATGGCACAGAAGCTTGGAAGCAGGTAGAGTTCTCCTGCCTCAAGAGCTTTATGTGTGGAACAGGGTGATGTTAAGATTCCACATTTCCAGGCACTTTGGAGGGTGCCAGAAGTCACTTTGTCCTTCACTGGGAAGCAAGCATTTTGCTTTTCAGGTTTGCTAATTTGTCCATCTCTAACTTTAGAGCTGAAAATCCATTCCTGAAGATTGCTGCTATATCTGCACGACCAGCACGACCCAGTCTTTCCAGTAAAAAGAGGGTGCCCACAAAAAAAAAAAAAAAAAAAAAAAAAAAAAAAAAAAAAAAAAAAAAAAAAGATTTCGCTTCTCTTGCTTGAAGTCTTTGAGTGAATGATCAAAAGGAATGGTCTGAATGGTCTGATTAACTCAACCAAGGGTAGCTGAATATAAGAAATAGAGTGGGTACACACTGGCTTTGCCTGTTTTGCACTGTCCAGGAGCCCTCCTAGATGCCTGTTCTCATGAGAAGGTTTAGCACTTTTTCTGTTTTACTACTCAGCATTTGATTGAAACCACAAGCTCACAAGGCATTTGACTGAAACCACAGTTTCATTGTCACCATCTTCCGTAGCTTGTCAACGCGATCTCTTGTCAGCCTAAAACAGCTCAAAAAGGATCCCGATGAAGAGACCTTGCCCACAACCCAGTCCTTCCCCACCTGCTTATTTTTCCCTTAAGAAAAGCACCATGGCTTTACCTGGAGCCAGAGCTTGTCGTGCTGGGACCACTTGCCGCCAGCGATGCACTGGAAGGTGGCGTTCTGCCCCACGTTGACCTCCACGTTCTGCAGCCGCAGGAAATGAGGCGCTTTCCCTAAAAGAAAACACCAAGTGATGCCGGAGCAGAACAAGGTGGGATCAGCCACACACTCAGAAAGTCATCGGGGTGACGGCAGGGCCACCCTTGGCAAAGGGCATTAATAATTAGAGCTGCACTTAACGATTCTGCTGCGCTTGCGGAGGGCGACCTAAGGGACCACGCAGAGCTCCAGCACATCCCAAACTCACACATTTACTATCACATCACAGGCAGCAGCAGCAGCTCTCAGCACTTGCTATCAAGGCTAATTGAGTAATCCCTTTTCTTTGTAAAACTATTTTGATAAAGGTTAAAAAATAATCAAATGTTTTGGAGTTCATCGAGTGTGAAAGATCCAAAACCATTTCAGAGATTTTTTTTCCCTTTTTTAATTTTGTCATTATCAAATAAATCCAAGGGTTTTAGATCTCAAACCACTACTGCTGAATATTAATATCACTGACATTAGCATATCACTGTATCAGTTTATTAATCACTAATATCAGTGTGCCACTGATTTTAAATTCAGTACTAATCAAGTTTTAGATTGCTAATACTAAAACACAGACACCCCTAATATTAAATAATCATCTGTTCATGCAGGAAAGAGATTAGGGAACTGGTTTTGAACTAAGCCATGGGCTCTTTCATCTCTGTAAGCAAACTTAGAGGAATATCAGAGTTTTATGGCAGCGAATCTGATTCTTTAGATGAAATCAGTTCTGTGCTGGGCTTCAGAGTGAAGTTTATGCCCCACTTAAATACTTTTAGTGGGGCACAGAGGAGTCTTGTGAGACTCTAAAGGTCAGAATTTTTCAAATTCCTGCTCACCTTTCATATTAAAGGCCTGTGCATATGTAGATTAGGCACCAACAGCATGCATAATTTCCAAACACGTCAACCTGAGCTTCTCCATGGGAATTAAATAGCTTCAAAAGGACATAGGCGTCTGTGTGTGCACAAGGCTTGATATATAGCTTAATATATAGCTCATTAGCTATATACTAAGCTAACTTTCATGGCTGTCTAGGGGCAAGCACATTTTCCAGACACACGATGAGGAATTCACAGCAAATGTTGGCATGTGGGTGCTGCAACACGGTCGCCAACAACTCTGGCAAAGCCATGATCACAGAAACAGAGCAATTCTCTGCTATCACACTTCCTGGGGAGCAGCAATTTGTCAAAGCTTACAAGAAAACTACCTTTGGGTGAGAGAATGTACTATGTGAATTTGCAGTGTAATAGGAATAATTTGGGCGCACGGTCTAAACCTGCTCCAAGCCTGAAGCTGGGCAGCAGTGGGGAGCATAAGAGCAGCTCCCAGCTCCTGGGGCTGCTCCACACCCAGGGCCCAGGTAGAGCCTTCACTGGGGACATGTTTCTTCTCCATCTCTACGTCATTATGGGCATTTTGCTGCTACATCATGATGTAGTGAGATGAAACAAATGAGAAAAAGGAAAAACAGTAAGTTCAGCCATCTCCGGGGTCCGCAGGAGCTTCACGCTTCCCGGGATCTGAGCTATGATACCTGTAAAGAAACAAGGGGCAAAACCTGCCCGAGTCAAGGGAGCACTTTGCTGAAATTCACCCCAAGTGGCTGTCGTCGCCAAAGAGCAAAAGCAGCTGCAGGAACCAGCAACAAGCAGCACCTAAAGACTGTCAGGAACCTAAAGAGGGGAATACTGCATGTTCAAACTCACTGCGAACTTAGTTCAAGTTTCTATCACCAAATTTACAATGTGCTCATTTGAAGAATTTACTTGCAGGCAGGCAACACTGGAGGCCACGAGTGGCAGAACAACTTACAGTGAGTAGATATGGGTTGCACCATTGCAGTTGGGAGCCTTTTGAAACCTGAGCTCAATTAAAAAGTAAATAAAGTAACTCCACCAGGAACATTAATGGGTTTCTGAAGGGCAATATGAAGTTTTCTGGTGGATTTGTCCATTAATAATGGCACAGCTGTGAATCTTCTGATCATTCTAGCAGGAAAAAGACAGCAAAAGTATTCAAAAGTGACCTGACCAGGCAGAATGCCCCCTGCTCCTTCTAAGTAGTAGTAGAAAGGACATGAAGGGCTTCAGTTCATCTTTATGACCAATGCATTTGGCCTCTGCACAAAAGGCAAAAAGGGAGTTCAATTGATACTGAAACTCCCTGTGAATACTTGTAGAAATAGACTTAAACAGCAGTTTAAATACTTCAAAAAGCAGGAGTCTAACACTGCATCTTTTCTGCTTTTTAAACCACCTTTCTTGTCCAGGTCTTGCTTGGCCTTATTGGTCCCTTCACCAGTAACAGGAGCAGCCAGCACCCACCACGCTGTGCAGCCGGAGCACCAAGCGGGGGATCTGCCTGGATGCTGCCCGTTAGCAACAGCAGCTGGTTAATACTGATTGTAAGTTTTTCTTAATGAAGTAAATGCACCCAAAGGCCCACAAAATGAGCACGTGATAAATGTAATTTAGTTAAAACAGCAGTTATCCATATTGTAGTTAGCAGAAATGTCCTGTTAAGCTCGAGTGGAAGGCTCCATGCCTATCCCACACAATAGTAGCTATTCTTTGGAATTTTGTTTTGCGTGAAAACCACTGATCTCACCCCACAGACGTGACCCATGGGATTCACTTGTGCTCAAGCAGCTGCCACTGCCTCCCCAAAGCCACAAACACGTGAGACAGGCTGTAACACCCTGCACGGGGCATGTGCTGCCTTTCCAAATGACCCCAGGCTTCCTGCATTTCATAGAATCATAGAATGCCGAAGGTTGGAAGGGACCTCAGAGGTCATCGAGTCCAACCCCCCTGCTCACACAGGGTCACCTAGAGCACGTGGCACAGGGCTGCATCCAAGCGGCTTTTAAAGATCTCCAAAGAAGGAGACTCCACAACCTCTCTGGGCAGCCTGTTCCAGTGCTTTGTCACCCTCACAGTGAAGAAATGCTTCCTTAAGTTCCTGTGGAACTTCCGATGCTTCAGTTTGAAGCCATTTCCTCTAGTCCTATCMCTGCCCACCACTGAAAAGAGGCCGCCCCCTCTTCCTCACTGCCTCCCTTGAGGTATTTATACACGCTGATCAGGTCCCCCCTCAGCCTCCTCTTCTCCAGGCTGAACAGACCCAGCTCTCTCAGCCTTTGCTCATAGGGCAGATGTTCCAGGCCCCTGATCATCCTGGTAGCCCTGCGCTGGACTCTCTCCAGCAGCTCCACATCCCTCTTGTACTGGGGAGCCCAGAACTGGATGCAGTACTCCAGATGTGGCCTCACCAGGGCTGAGTAGARGGGGATGATCACTTCCCTCGACCTGCTGGAGACGCTTTTCTTTGCAGCATCAAGTGATGAATAAGATCAGGGGACCATCCAAAATTGGATTTGAAGACCAAACATGTAATAGCTTTAGCATTACAAGGCATGGGATCACTGCATATTATTCATAAGGATATTCATGTATTTGAAGAAGAAAATCAAAAGGCATGTCCAAACTCATTAAAGAACGCAGGGGCTCTTAAAAGCTCTAGAAAGACTGCACACTACACACACGAAACACACTCAATGGGGACAAACCAAAGCAGCTCAGATCCAAAGGCTGAGATTTAGGGTTTGGTTTTTTTTTTTTTTTTTTTTTTTTTTTTTTTTAAACACAAAAATCTTGATCAGACACACCATGATTAGGACATAAAAACATACAGTACTAATAATTTAACAACATTATGAGCCCGCAATAGTCTCTCTCCTGTGCAAGTGTATGATCTGAATAAAACATTTTAAATCTGCATGGAAGTACTTAGTGGACTTAACTTTTGTTCAAAAAGATCAGAAGCTTTTGGGTTCTTTATCAAGAGTGTGATTCAAAAGTAACAAACCCACCAGAGCAGTCTTGCCCTTTGCAAACTTGCTGTTAAATAGCTATGCAAGGCTGGTTCTCTTAAGAGGGACTGAGACGACGGTTTAGAGTTGGCTGAAGTGGGTAAATTTTACATCTAGACTGCAAAGCCTGATATATAACATATTAGCATGTTAAAAAAAAAAAATGCTTACTGCACGGATGGGCAAGAACCCTGACTTCATCCACAGCGATGTACCCTGGATGTCCTTTCAAGGAGACGGATTCAAATATCACCTGGAATATAAAATAAAAAAAAGGTTTTCTTAAAAAGGAATAGCTGCACCAGCCATTTGGCCAGAGATCACATCCCCCTCTCATTCCAGGGTTGAAACCATTCAAGGCATCTCATTGCTAATGCTGAAGGGCTGCAGCTGCAATTCAGTAGAGTAACAAAAGTTACTGTAACATTTATTAGGATTAAAGTTATAGACTACTTTGCTTTGAAGGAGGAAAAAAATATCCCGTGGATACACACACGTATTCAATTTAAACACCCGTGCAAGAACAGTTCGTGGGCAGTCATTTGACATCTTATTTTTAATATGCTTCAAAAAGCTAGAGCAAGCTGTTCCTGAAATAAAATGATCTTACTGAGTCAAGAGCTCTGCATGGATTCATTTGGAAGGAGCTGCTTTGCCATGCAAGCAATGGCCATGCCAAGGAGCAACTTATGAGCAATAGAAGACCCTGAATCCCAGCTATTGCACTGAAAAAAGGTCCTCTCCAATATATTAATTACATTAAACATTAGGATAAAGGAGTTTCTCTGCCTTTTTCCAGACAAATCTAACACATTTTGAGAAAGAATCATCTTTAAAAGCTCATATAAGATATTTATGTTAATGCTACAATAACTGGGCTTAATTTGTTTTATGTATCTGGTCAATGAAAACCTTACACTAATTTGGGACTGAATACACAAACATTACAGGCAAACAAAAACACAACTCTCTTCCATGGCTATGGAAATGTACCTGGAAACCTGTCCTCATTTGGAGTATCTTGTTGCTAAAAATATGCAACTACTTGAAAAGAATTGAGAAAAAAAGATAAAAGGCCAGTAAAGAAATTATTAAAACTAAAATAAATACTGTCAAATAAGCTAACTTTAATTCAGGAAACATAGTACCAAATATGGTGCACACAAAGTCTGTTAACTACTTCAAGCCAGCTTTTAGCACTGCTCATTTCCAGTCTGAATTGAAGTTGACAGTCCCTGTTTCTCATTGCTGAGCCTCTTTTTCATGTCCTCCATCAGAACATTAAATATAGTAAAATATCCAATGGTCCAAATGCTTACCACTGAGTACCCAGGCTGTTAGAGCTCTGCGTACTTCATAAGCACATTTTTTTCTGTTAATCACTGCACTTTTTATTTGAGCTTCCAGAACTTAGCTTCTCTTCAAGCTCCCAGAACTTGCTGGAAATTGTTCCCCAAATCCTAAACAGTCCCCCAAGAAGTCTAGAAAAACAGGTATAATACAAAAACAAACACAAAAAAAGATGCTAACAAAATGTAAAAATTTTCTACGCCAGAGGACAATGGACAAAAATAGCCTAAAAGGTGGAAGAGGGGAGCAAGTCTCTGGAAGAGAAATAATGATCAAAAAATATTAGTGTCATGAGTGATAAAAGGTCCTTGACAGGTTATCTAGAAACTGTATAGACTAATAGTGCAGTGCACATCTATAATAGAGAAATTATAATTAATTTTTTAAAAGGAAATGTCATTCACCACATGTTGTACCTGCTGGGAAGGTCACCTAAGGAACTACTGCAGCTTCCTTCCAACGACGGCACTACACAATTCCTAGAAGTTAGTTTTACAATTATGAGAAGCTTTTAAGGCAGATGTTAAACCCCATCCTCAATTTCCTTCATGCCACCTTCCTCAGAGACCTGGAACTGGGAACAAAAAGCTCTCTGAAACCCTGGCATTAGCTACGAGCCCTTAGTATGGTGCAATATACCCCAAGCCACTTGAGTCACTGCGTTAGAGGATGAAAAACCCATCATTTAGTCTACACATTGGTGCAGAATCCACACCGCGTTGTTTCAATGGAGGGTTTTAACTCTGTGCTGAGATCTTCTCTTTATTTCCCAGGTCAAACTTGCCCATCGCTGGCCTGGTTTGCATCATGCAGCACCTCAACCCTGTCAAGGCCAAGAGTGTGGGAGCATCCAGGCTGTCCCGGGGACCAGAACTGGGACACAGGGAGGAGGAGGAGGCAGAAACCCAGGCATACACAAGGTCTGTTGCTACCAACTCTACCCTGAACATCTCTCATGTCCTTTTAACCCCATTCGGAAATAAAATATAATGGCTGAGATGGTGGGCTTTTTTTTTTCCTTGGTGTTTTACATTTAAGGAACTTGTGAGAACATAACACAGCTGACAAAACACAAGGCTTTGCTCCTGAAGAAGCCTTTTAAACGCCCTCAAGAACCGCAAAGCCCGAGTCATTTCACGTCTCCTTGCCCATAAACAACCTGCCTTTCAGTAGCCCAGCTCGTCCGTGGCGCGCCTTTTCTTCAGGCACGGATCAATAACGCTCCTCGCTATCCATCAAAAAGCCTCTTCCTGCAGACCGCCGCTGCCCTTCCTGCACCCTGGTACTCAGCTCGTCCTTATGGCAAGCAATAATTTGGAATTACACGCATTAACTTCCCCCGAGTAGTGCTAGGGCTTTGTTTGCTGCACTAAAAACACGTGTAGGCTGGGAATTCAAGTAACTCTAGGGTAGGCACAGGCTGGGACTTCAAGTCTAACTAACTCTAGGGTAGACATGATCAATCTCCACCGTGTTCTCGCTCAGCAGAGTGTTTTGGATCTGCTCGGCTCATGGAGGCTCCGCGCTGACGCGCCAGGCCCGAAAGCAGGGCCTGCAGCATGGGGCAGCTCATGCGTCCTGCTCCATCACATCCCAAAACCCGGAGCACCTCCCGGAGCCTCGGCCACACAGGAGACCCTTCCTGGCACCTCCCGACCCCTTTCCTGACACCTCACGACAAACATTTTTGAGGCTCAATGAGTTTTACACCGAGCTCCACACCAGCAAGGTTTGCACACGCTGAGAGGCACGTGTCCTTGAAACAGGTCCAGTTACTCAGGAAAAAGGTGCTTTTTTCCTCACATTTCAAACACAGACGATGCTCCCACGGCTCTCGGGCACAGTTTGCACTCTGGACATGCAGCTCTCATTTCCAGCTCGCAAAAAGCTCCAGCACAGCGAGACAGGAGCATCCAGCATGATCCTCCCAAGTGTGAGCACAGCCCAGCCTCGCCATGCGCTCACCATCCTCCTCCTCTCTTGGCAGCATTAGGCTGTCACCCAACAATAATCTGAACAAAGCTCCTTGACAACCTTTTTCCTCTTCATTTCTTTAAGTTTATTCTCGTTCCTTTTTCATTTTGACTACATGCGGAAATCCAGTAGTTTGTGGGCTATCCACAAGAGATTCAAACAGTTTTTGAAAGTCACGGTTAAGGATTAAGAATACAAATACAGACTGAAATATCAGTTCTACCTTTTAAAAGAAAAAAAAAAAAGAAAAAAAAATGATTTCTGGGACAAAGCTACTTCCAGACAGCTACTGCTGACCCTCAAACCATGTAGTTTTGTGCAGTGGTAAGAAAAAAAAAAGGGGGGTCTGATTTTAAAGGACTTTTATTCAGAAACCTGACCTGCAAAAGGACTTGCAAGAGAAGTAACTAAAGCTGGGATATATCTAAAACTGGGTATATCTAAGAGTAAGATCTCTTAGCAGGAGATCACAGCAGCTTTTGCAGGCTTCTCCAGCCCTGATTACCTGGGTGAAAGACCATCTTTTCTTTATCTCTTTAGAGCAGCCAGTATGAAGATTTTGGGTCATGACCAGGTTCACATTAATGTGAACTCTGTGTCAAGAATTTTAATACAACTTCAGAACAAGGGGCAAATCAGCCCTCAAAAAACCTGTCCCAGACTCCAGTGCACAGGTTTGGGCTCTGCTGATAGCGCCAACTCTTTCAAGGCAAACCATTAAAGCTTTCTCCTTTGTCTCAGATTTTTAAAGACCTTCTATCCACTTATTAAAAGGAATAAATAACTAGAAGCTTTTCTACCTGCTGTTGTCTATACACAGAATGTTCTCCTCCTTTTCAGAGCTTTCCCTGTACTAAATTCCTATTTCATTAATGTCTTAGTAGTCTCACATGCACACCTCCTCTTTGCAAGGTGTGGGATGTAATTACCTCCCTAGCTTTTTGTCTTGGAGGAAAACCAAGACAACAAATGCCCCAACACTTAACAACAAGTATGCAAGTCCATTACACGCCACTGTACCTTTTTAAAACTAAAACAACATCTGGAAAGCTGCACCATGACATTTCAAGTCCTTCCCCACAAATTGAGCAACTAACTAATGGCTAGGAGAGAAAGGGGGAGAAAAAAAGGAAAAAAGAAAAAAGGCACACAAATACTCAACTTTGTGCTTGGTTAAGATATAAAGCAGTAACTTTTTCTAGGGCAAAATCAGCAAGAGAACGGTCTGAATAACAAACATTATTCAGGTTTTGTGAGTCTTTTCTCTGCTTAAACTCCTTAAGTTAACTGCAAATTTACTCCCTGCTGCCCTAAAGAACAACCTTTTCTGCCTGCACAAACATCATTGCCTGAAAGAAAGGTTTGTTAAAACAAAACCAAAACTACCTCCTAACCAAAGCTGCCTATGTATTTCCAGGTGGCCTTTGAGAGAGCATCAGCTTTTGCATCTAGTCAAGCAATCAAGATTTTCACAGAGCCAAGCAAGCAGCCTGGGTCTTTCTCAAGACGAACACATCCGCTGATGACCATAGATGTTGCCACCAACAGAACCATAGCTTTACACAACTACCATTTTTTTGTTCTTCCAGGCAAAGACACTCGTGCTCTCAAGTTATTGAGATGATTAATCTTGACAGAGCCAAAAGACATCCAGCATCAGGCATGTCTGCCTGTTTTCTACACCTGGAAATGGGTAAAACCTCAGAAAGCCATGGAAATGCCTGCTTTACCAGCCCCTGGGGAAATACCTTCTAACAGAACAAGCCAAATTATGGTACATGCAAGGCTTTAAAAACATATTAAAAACAAAGGGACATAAAAAAAAAAAGGATTGGGCGAAGATTCTGCTCATTTTGTAAACATGGTACAAGATTTTATTAGTATCTTACATATCTAATGCTTGCACCAAGAACTCAGCTGCAAAGCTGAATAAACAAGTTAAGCATCTGCTCTCCTGGAATCAAGTATGGCCAGGAGAACTTGTACATGGAGCTACAGTTAGACATCTAGACAGTCACTTGGAAACACAAGTTTGCAAAGAGGCACGAAAAGAGCCAGGAGAATCTGCTCAAATGCTGACTTCAAGACATAAGTTGCTGTTAACTTCCCAGTAATTTAACTCTAGCAGTATTAACTAACAGTGTAACTTAACTCTAGACCTAATAGTTTCCCAAGAAAAAGGCTGAAGAGTGTAAAACATGTAAAAATGTCTAAATCACCTCTGCTGATAGAAGTATTGTGTATAAACTCACAGAACGGGGAGGAGGGGGATCAGAATTAAATTTGCAGGATATCTGTTGCTAACTATAGCTGAGCATAACAACTAGGCATACTTTCAAAGGAGTAAGTGTGAGCAGTACTGCAAATTCATACCTGATAAAAATGTGGCCAGAACGTACTGATGGCAAGTTCCGCCTTCACCCATCCTTCTGTAACAATCCCTGACACATTCCATATGGGATTGCCCTGCGGTCCACCGTTCACCTTCACGTAGACATTCAGCGAGCCAGGACTGGAACGGTCTCTGCTGGATAAGTAATAGTGGAAGTCGATGCAATGGGTGTCATTTTCCTTCAACGTAGGCAAAAGCAAGTGGGCTTTCTGCCCAGATGCCCGTCCAGAGCTGTTTACCATCATGAAGGAGCCTATAGATAGCAAAGGGAAAAATAGAAAGAGAAGAAAAAGGGTTTTTTTGTTTGGCTCTTTCAACAAAAGCAGTTCCATCAGAAACACAAGCAATTCTTCAAAAAAGCCAGAAAACGAAACATTCGACTGAAAAACTCAAACTAGCTATTTTATGTTAGTGGCTAGGTAACAAAAAGAAAGGATATTAAAATTACAGGCTTGCAATACAAACAGATTCAGGGCCAACTACCGTTACCATAATTATATAATTTAAAAAACAAATTTAAAAAGATCTGTTTTGCTTGTACTATTTTTTAACCTTATAATAAAACAGTCACTCTGAGTGGAATCGCATCCCCAGTTAAAGCAGCAGCAGAGCTCTCCTTGCACGTACCCACGTACCTCCTTTGCCAGGGGCACATCCAAAACACAAGACTGCAGCAGAGGCCCAAACCTCAGCCGGGGGGAGTCTATCTGCACCTGCCTATTTAGTGCCAGTCTCCACTTGCTAACCCTGCATCTTGCCTCCATCAGCTTCTGAAGGCTGCAATGTGTTAACAAAACCCCAATTTTCAGAATCCGGATGAATTAAGACTTGTTAGCGACATCTCAGGCAGCAATAATGCAACAAGGACAAGTACACTTCTGAGAGGGAAGGACAGGCTGAATTTACGTAGGAAAACATATACACTGAAGCAGCTGATGAGTTTGTTAACCCTGGGGCTTGCATCGTATTAACCATGGCGCTGGATGTTGAACTCCTGTTTGGATTCATCAGGCAGTTATTTTGCAGCACGTTGCATCTCGCCTCATCTCTTCGCAGATGCATCAAGGTGACAAATGCTAGCAATAAGGGAAAACATTATGAGAGTTATTTGATTCACTTCTGCTTAAAGGCGCCGCTTTGTGTGTGTGCAGACGCACAGAGAAAAAGCTGAAGGAAATACTGCGGGATGGAGGGGAAAAAAATGTGATAATTTTTGATCAAACGCAGCCCTCTTGACATTTCTCAGTTCTGCTACTGCCACCCAGTCACGCGACCAACGTGTTTCTCCGCTGGCCTCTTGCAGTTCACAGAAGACTGAGTTTGCAAAGGCTTGCCCTACTCTAACCTATCGACTTTCCCTATTCCGGGCTGTAGCAGTGCAGCAGACTCAGACGAGCCAGATAAAAATCCCCATCAGCACAATAAAAAAGCCAAATATTCTAAATTTGTATCAACAGACACCAGCAACTTCCTCCCACAAAACTGTTTTCTTTTTTCCCCGTGTTTATACGATACATAGGCAGTTTGTAAAGGACTGCGAAGCTCGGATGCGGCAGAGGGAAGTCGATCTTTCATAAAGAAATCAGACACTCGAGAGACCTCGGAAAGCTCGAGCACAATGCAAGCCCAGCTGGGGGAGAGGGTTTACCGAGCAAGATGAAAAGCTGCAGGCAAGACACTCTCGGGCAAGGCTGCCTTTCATCTTGGTATGTTGAAAATAAAAACAGCCCCAAATCAAGAAACTCAACGAGGACTTTGAGAAATTTTAACAGCAGAATCCAAACTTCGCAATTTCTCACAAATAACCACAAGGCAAGAGACATGGTTAAGTGCTCCCTGTTGATCTCATTCTGCTCCCAATTAACCAGAAAGTGCCCTTATTCAATTAAATGAGAGGAGCTTTAACAGACTACTTTTGCATATATATAATATATAAAATAACCCAAAAAAAAAAAAATTATAAAAAAAAAAACCCAAATAAGCAAAAAAAAAAAAAAAAAAAAAAGAGAAATAGAACTACTTTAAGCTTTGTAGAAAGCACAACTGCAAACAGCGCAGTGGCCACAGCAGCAGGTTGGATGCCCTGGTTTTAAGGCTAACCACACCACACACTTCCAAGATCTTTGGCCATGCACGCAGTCTGCCTCATCTGCCTTTATAAATGAAGAAGGATGAGAATGCTACTACTCCCCTACTACAGACCCGGGAGGAAAGGCACTATGACAAACGCTGAGCAACAGTGGTAGATTTCTTCCCATGCAGGAGAACAGTAATTGCTGTGAAGTGCACTGCTTGCAGCATCTTAATGACACGGAGAGAAGCAGCACAATACGGATGAAGACAACCTGTACATCTGCCAGGTCTCATCTCCTCAAGGATGAGGAGAGCCAATTAAACAAGTGAAGGAAAGCAGAGCTCTGACACATCCACAGGTTTACGACCAAGCGACTGCAGCAGTGGGTAGGAACTCGAGAAAATGGGTTTCTGCTCTATTGCCGACTGGATCATGGGCAAGCTGTATCGCTTCTGGGTGTCCTTCATCTCTTTTATACTTAGATTATAAAAGGATTTCTAGCCTGAAGAGCTGCTCTGAAGCTGCACTGTGTGTAACACAATAGGGTCTTGAACCACACTGGGGGAGGCGAGTGTTTCAAGATAAGAAAAGTTAGGGAGTATTTCTCTTTCACGGGTTCATGTATAAAAATAATGATTTTTCCTCTGGGAGAAAAACATCAGCTTTATATAAAGTTCAAAGCAATAATTACATTTTTTATTTTTTGCCACCCACAAAAAAGTGAATCACAGGCTGCTCGCAGCTCGACAATGGCCCTTTGTGCAACTGCCGAGCATCTAGAAGAGTTTGGAGCCACCTTCTAGCAACTGCACAGCGGCAACTTGTAAAACGCCACTGCTCCAAAAAAACCACTCAATAGCTACACATTATACCCTTATTTTACTGCAAGAATAATCTTACAAAATTAATAATTGTCACATTTTGATGCTACATATTTTCATAGAATGGGTGAGGTTGGAAGGGACCTCTTGAGATCATCCAGTCCAACCTCCCCTGCTCCAGCAGGGACACCCGGAGCACAGGGCACAGGGTGGCATCCAGGTGCGTTTGAAAGATCTCCAGAGAAGGAGACTCCACAACCTCCCTGGGCAGCCTGTGCCAGGGCGCTGGTACCCTCACAGGGAAGAAGTTCCTCCTCACACGGAGATGGAACTGCCTGTGTTTCAGCTTATACCCATTACCCCTTGTCCTGTCATGGGCCACCACTGAGAAGAGTATTTTCTTACTTTATTTTATTTTTTAAACATTGAGGTTTAAACACGATTGCTGATAAAGGATAAAAGACAAATCTGCTCACAAAATGCAGTTAAAGAATAAATTATATCCTGTACGAGACACACAGGCTTCCAAAATAGAAGTTGAACAACTTCATCTTTTTTCCCTTTCTCCAGCATAAACTCATCAGTAGATCCACCAGGATCATCAAGAGGTTGCCCCACATACCCCAAGTCACACAACCAAGAGGCTCCACAGGCCTCTTAGTGGGGGGTTTGAGATAACAAACCTTGTTCTTACCAGGAAAAAAAAAAATATACACACACACACTTATGTATAGTCAAAGAAGCCTTTTAAGGACCTAAACATTCTGTCCTCATTATCTTGCATAAAAACCTGACATATTCTGATTCAGAGTTTGACAGTCGTCTTTAAGCTGAATGAAGAATTGCAGCTGATGAGAGTTATTCTCAATTTATAGGCCTATATGTGCAAATAAAGAAGGTACAATCTGGTCTGGCACCAACAAGCCACTTGTCACATTTTTTGTTCCCCGTATAAAGAAGCAGGGAATGAATTAACGTGTCACAAATGGAAATTATTGATCGATGCATGACTGAAGGCCTCTTAAATGTCTCCAGGCAGGAATCTGAATAAAACAAAGGGTTATCTTGGGCAAGCTCTTTTCTTTAGAGCACTACACATTCCATATTGAATAATAATAATAATAATAATAATAATAAAAAAAAATAAAAATCATTAACCTTGTTGTTTCGTTTTCCTTCATCTGCAAAGTTCAGATGTCGTAAAATAGACACTGACCTAAAGAAGAGCTTGAGAGGGAGTTACCTGTGTTGTATAAAATCTGGTCTTTAGATTTATTGCATATAGAAGTACATGCTTGTTAAAGCAGACTGAATATTAGGCCAATTTAATTTAGTGCTCCTAGATCAACAGGTTAGATTAATTAATATCCTGCTGGCTCTGCCAGCTTCCTGAAGAACCAAAAATAAACCTGCTATGCTCACATCAGTCAGAGACAAGGAAGAAGGGAAGATGGTAAATAAACTCATTTTTAAAAATCCGTTCCAACGACAGGGAACATAAAACGGCACTCACTCCTAGTTATTAAACATACTACTGAAAATTGGGGAATTAAACCATGAAGTGCTCTCTAGCTGGCCATAAATTTCAATTTTTCCCCTGCTTGGTGCATAATGATGCCTTGATAAGCCTCCTATTATTGATGCATCTGCAACATATATCCTCTTTTTGGAGCTGAAACGCTACTCTCTAGCAGATGGTGGCTATTGTGTTTACACATCAGCACTTTATGATTGCATTTTCTCACGTCTGCAGTAAAAAGAAAGCCGTAATTGAGTTTTTAATGGCGTTGCACATTGTTCATTAAGATTACATGAGTGTGTTCTGACAAATGACAGCTGAAGAAACGAGTCACCGAGAACCCCTCGTGATCACCAGACAGACCTCAGTCGAGGCTGCTTCACTGCTGGCTTTGAAGAACTGTGCTGTTTAAAAGTGAAATTATAGCAACCATTACAGACTGAATGTAAACTCAAGAAGAAGGCTGTCAAAACGCCTGACTGCAAAATGAGACTTCTGAAACACGAAAAAAGCAAAATCAGGTACAGATTGTCCTTTTAAATAACAAACTCCTTCCAAAACTACAGGAATGGGCTTTCCACCAGCTCCATCAGGTGCCTGAACATGCTTTACAGACACGCTTTTGCTCATTTCATTTCTTTTTCCAAGAAATTAAGCACTGGGCACCTGACGCTGTTCTGGTAGAACAAAGAACCGCCGGATCGCTCCAGCTGGAAGGGACCTCAGGAGGTCTCCAGTCCAACCTCCTGCTCAAAGCAGGGTCAGCCTTGAGATCAGACCTCACATTCAGGCCTTTATACTCTTGTGTCTTCAAAGGACAGAGGCTGCACAAACTCCCC